TCCACCAAACTTTGGAGAGCATTAAATATCTTATTGAAACTATTCGATGATGTACATGCTAATAGAAGGCTCTCATTAATTTCACGAACCCTTAATGACTCTCAGGGCATTGTTCAAGACTTTTTTGAGCCTGTAGATCTTCCGGATTCATAACGAGTTTCAGTACAATGTTCAAGACTTTATTGAGCATGTAGATATACAAGATCTGTTCTCCAAAATACATTGTAGAGCATTAAATATCTTTTTGAAACCATTTGATGATGTGCGTGTTGACAGAAGGCTCCCTTGAACTTCACGAACTCAAAAAGACTTTTAAGACATTGTTCAAGACTTCATAGAGCTTGTAGATCTTCATGATGTTATGCCTCCAGTATAATTTGGAGAGCACTAAATATTTTATTGAAACCATACAATGTTGTGCATGTTGACAGAAGGCTCAATTGAACTTCTCGAACCCTTAAAGACACTTAGGACATTGTTCAAGACTTCATTGAGCCTGTATGCCTTCAAAACCATATCTCCAGAATACTTTGGAGAGCATTAAATATCCAATTTGATCCATTAGATGATGTGCATGTTAACAAAAGGCTCTCTTGAACTTCACGAACTCAAAAAGACTTTTAGGATATTGTTCAAGACTTCATTGTGCCTGTAGATCTTCAAGACGTGATCTCCAAGATACTTTGGAGAGCATTAAGTTTCTTATTGATGCACAGATGTTTCCTCAACATAATTCTATGAATTTGTGTTACTTAGGCCAGAGGTCTTTGAATTAATTCGGTTGCGATCCTGATTTGTGGGAGAGTTTTAAAATTTGTACCAATCATACGCTCCTTTTTTGAAGCTACCCACCAAAATGTATAAGGGAATTGATTGACGCCCATCCAGATGACTATGCGCTGATATGAGCATATTTGCGTTGCAAACAAACAACATGGGACATGTTCTGTCTTCATCCAGAATCAATTTGTATCTTTAATTGTGATATGACAGTCCCAAAGATTTCGAGAAAATTCACTTCCGTAAAGGGAAATTGAGGACAGTTCCAATTTATTTCAGGAAAATAACGGAATACGTTCCAGAAGTTAATGGATAGCCCATATAACCCTAGGGAGGTTTAGTGAACTTTACAAAATTTTAGTAAACCTAAGAAATGTTCATAGAAGATCCAAGAAATTCACGAAAGTCCAGAGGACTTCAAGGAAGTTTGAAGATCTTTAGGGCAGTTCTGTTAATTTCAGGACACATTCTTGGAACATGATCAGGAGAACAGCGAGGACTTCAGGGAAGTTCCGTAAATATTGTGAAATTTCACAGATATTTAGGGTAGTCTCATTAATTTTAGAAATATTTTGGGCACTTTATAAAAGTTCTGAGGAATGTAAGGAAATGCCGTGAATTTTAGGGAAGTTTCATAAACAAGCTGCGGAAACATAAGGGAAGTTCAGAAAACTATTGGAACATTTTAGAAAGTTCAGAGAACCTTCATCAGCTTCAAAACGGTCTCATTAGTTTCGGGAAAACAGCAGAAACATTAACGAATGATTAAAGAACTTCAAACATATCCAGATAATTTTATAGATACAGAGAGAACTTAATGACTGTTGAATCGTTAAAGAAGTTCCAAGTAGTTCAAAGGACGCAGGTCTAGAGACCTTAAGTGATTTTCAGAGATCATACGAAGGTTTCAATGATTTCAGGAAAGCTCCAAATACTTTATGAAAGTCAGAATCAGTAAGGATAAGTTTCAATAAATTCAAGACTAGTCCATTAACTTTTGGAAAATTTCAAGAACCCTTAAGAATATTCAAATATTTCAGAAAAGTCCAAAGAACTCCAGAGTACTTAAGAAAGCATCAGTAATTTTTGGAAAACTTTACAACGAACACTTTTAAAGTTTTCAGGACAGTTCCAATCATTTCAGGACCGTCGGAAAATTTTCAGGAGAATTGAGAAAACTTAAGGAAAGCTCTGAGGGTACCAGACGGATCAGAGAGCCTAATGGCAGTTCAATTAATTTCAAGGGAATTCCTGGATCTTTGAAGTTGTTCCGGAAACGTTTGGGAAATTTCCAGAACTTCAGGATAATGTGCAAATGTGTGAAGATTAGAAACCTTCAAGGCAGTTCGACTAATTTCAAGAAAATTGCGAGAACTTTTAAGATGTTCCTAAATATTCAAGAAAGTTTGGGCTTCAAAGAGTATTGTAGATTTTAAGGTGTATTCATTATATTCTCGGAAATTTCGAAATCGGTGCAGAAAGTTAGATCCGAGATCAAAATTGAGGATAATACGTGCTTAGCAAAATCGATGATGATTCGAGATTTGAGTATTATCCTCGATGCAGTTTACCATAGCGGATGCTGATGATGTTTGATTTTTTTTTTAAATTAGTTGTTTATTTACTAAGCTCAGTCGTGTGTGACACTTTGCGGAGCCAAAATCAGTAAAGTTTGAATTTATATTTTAAATAGCAGTAGTTCTAGGTTAGTATTGGATACCAATTACTCGTGGCGGGCTCGAGGTTAGTTGGTAACAAACTGGTTTCTGAAGCCTCCTTCAGATAGTACTCTCGGACGGTTGACCAAATCTTGGCTGGGCAGGGGCAAGTAGCACAGAAACAGGAGGATAATAAAACTGGGACACAATGACTGGACATTGTTTGGAAAGGAGGGGATAGTCACATCAAACTCTAACATCAGACAAACAAAGAAATTCGTAGATCGCTTGCATGTAGGGAAGATCACAGGTTCCCAATACATCTCTTACTTCACGGAAGGGTTGTCTACCTCGGGCCACTAGGGTATCCAACAGTCGTGCTCTGGAGGCGTCATTACCCGAGCAATACCAAACTGTGTGATCAATGTCATCATAACCGGTTCTGCACCTACATATATTGCTGTTAACGAAGTTTATTCTATAGAGATGTGCGTCTAGCGAGTAGTGGTTGGACATAAGTCTTGACATCACGCGAATGAATCCTCGACTTACATCCAGACCTTTGAACCACGCTCTCGAAAAAACATTTGGAATAATGTAATGTAACCACCGCCCAAGAGAATTACTTGTCCAGATGTTTGATGTGTTGGATGTCTGATTTTTGCACCATTCAAGTTCTGGCCGCTATCCCAGAGGCATTGGGAATCTTCCACAAAGTGGCCAAGGCAACTGGCGCCTTTTAACATACATCCAATAACACCATCTTGCAACATCAAAAAGCTTAATATCCACATTGAAAACTTTTACGGAGCTGCTGTGTCGTCAAATGCCGATAAATGGGTGTAACGGTTTGGAAAATGTTTCGAATTATGTGAATTATACTTAAGCAACTCAGGGTATTTCATTTCAGTCAATCGCCAAAAACCTCGTTAAGGACCGTTGTTTAAAGACATTTATCCTCAGATTGACGTCAATTATATATTCCCTGACAATCAATCTTAACACGCTCAAATTCCTGCCAGGGGGAGCGAGGCACATGCACAAACATACATGACCACATACATGATAGCGGAACCGAGATATGGCCATGTCAAACGGCGTCATTCGCCGGGGTAATGCCTACTACATCCTCGCAAGAACCGGTCGCTCGCTCGCTCGCTCGTTTGTTCGTCGAAAAACCATGATGGATTTGTTGATAATTTGGTGTCATAAATCATAAAGGTCCCGAATTTACGTGGAAAATTTGAATACATTAATAATTTATGAGAACACACGGCAGCGGAGTCTGTTCGTTAAAAGCTTCGTCTTCGCTCGCCCTCGTCGGCGTCTTACAGGAACGTGATCTTTGCTCTAGCAGGGGATCTAATTTTAGTGCCAAATCTTATCGCCGTCGTTTTACCTACTACCTAGTCATTGTCAGCGTTGGTTGCTGTTTCCTGCTCCCACTAGCAATTTGTTCAAAATCGACCCACTGGCAGCCAGCCCCTCGCCGCGGTCTTCGGTTTATGCATATTAATTATTACGCAGCTTTCTTTCTCCTGTTCGGTCCTCCCTGAATTGATGTGAAGCTTTTTTTTTAGAACGAGAAGTCTTGGGCAACGAATGTCAATTTCCTCAAATCCCCTTTCAAGGGAGGCCTGAAGCGAGAAGCAGCAGCCACCAAGGATGCGTGAGACATTTTAATGAATAAATTACCATGAAAGGGGTTTTAATCAGAAGCACTCGATTTTCAAATGCAGACTTAAGAAGAGTACACAAATTCAGCGAAGCGATCAGGAGAGAGGAAATAATGAAATGCGAGCTTCGCCGTTGCAGAGTTTGAAGGGAAAGTTTTCGGATATCGATTGCTCTCCATTAGTTGTTACTAATAGCAGCTTAAACTGTAATTTAAAGCGCACCATAGGATAGAAACCGTTTTAACGAGTATATTAAAGGGGGATATCCGTTAGGATTTCTAAAAAACAGGATTTTTTGAACATTAGAATAAATGCAATCACTTAGTGTTTTCAGTGTCAGGAATGATAATTCGTTTTTAGCGATTTACTTCACAATGAAGTTGTGTTCAGTTACTCATTGAGCGTACCTTTACGAACATTGTACAGTTATGAAGCAACTTCAAATAAAGTGTAACAGAATATCCGCTACCAACATACCGTTCCCAACATTGTTGCCATAGCAATTATTATCTAATAGCTTTCCGAACTCCATCGTACGGAGTACGTTCCACGCATCGTGCCATCACATCCCACAAAATTCCAGCAGTATCCTAGCGACAGGACAATAATAAAAGAGAATCCATTGATATGGGAAACTTCCCCAATTCCCGAAAGCCAGCGACAAACAGCACGCATCAGCAATAATGAAATCGAATTATTGTCATCATAGCCGAGAGTGGCACCACTCAACTCTCAAGCTGGTCGTCATCAACCGTCGGTACAGGCCTACGTTGCCGAATTCAATTTGACCAACCAAATGTTCGTTCGTATCGACGAAGATGATGGTGATGATGATGATGATGGGTGTCAATTATCATATGAGATGAGGAAATTCCTGAACACATACCGATAGATCGCCTCCGTAAAATGGATGTATAACAAATGTTTCGTTCCCGACGTGTATCACACCGCTGACGCCGTTGCAGGTGTGGAAGGCGGCACTAGCTCCCGGGTAGTCTTTTACCGTTCCGTGGTAGTAGCAGTGCTCAATTTCCTAAAACGAGGGGAGAAAACGGGTGAAAAGTTGACATTAGTTGCTGTTGAATGGGGGAGAAAAAGATCATGTAGTTTATGGAAGTCTGGTCAACGGAGTTCACAAACCGGTCATTTTTCACAGCTAATTGCCATCGAGGCAATCTGGTTTCGAGGTTACGTTCAACTTTTGAAGGCATAGTTTTAGGAACGGGCGACTGAGTTAACTTTTGTCAAAGTTTTGGTCCAAACCGAAAATCACGTAATGGTAATTAGTAATGAACGAGGATTTCTCCGGAACGAGGCCAACTTGTGGTTATTAGAGGTTATGTTTAGATTTAATTAAAGAGTAACTGGATTTGTTATCAACCGAAAGCAACCGTAAATCATTCTTGCAGTTAGATCTAACATTGTTGCTGACGTCTGAAACTGTCCGTGCCAGTCAGCTTCACCAGTATTTCTTCTGCCAGTGCTTGCAATTTCGATTTTCACGTCTCCACCTAGTAGTTATATGCAAAACGAACACCATTCCATCCGCCTTCCCTTTCTGCCAAAGTCTAAAAAGCAGGCAAAGTCCAGAAACCATCGAATTGCTCCCCAGACGGCTCTCCGGACAGATTCGTCCAACGAAAACAAATATTTTATCCACTAGCAGATTAGGTATCCGAAAGTAAACCCACACTCCGTTGGTGCAAACGGTCTCGTACGCTGGATGCTGTGCAAAATGTCATTGGTGGCGATTTAGAAGGGGCCGTGGAACCGACCCAACTCTAATTTCAATCACCATTTCATGTCTTCACAGAAGGATACTAAAACATTTTTGTCAGTAAAAGCTGCGATAGGGTGGATGTACCAGTTATGGCTATACGTTCCTATTATTGTATGGGAATCCCATAGGCCATAATTGGAACACGCTATAATAGGAACGTATAGCCATAACTGGTACACCTACTCTTGTATATACATTTTATCTGGCTGAAAGGTTGTTGTGTTGAGAATTATAAGCCATTAAAAAACAGGCGAATTTTTTTTGAGAGAGTAGGCTGTGCGTGTTTTCTAACCTGACGTTTGTTTTTTTCCGTGGAGTTTTTTTTTTTATCTATAATCGGTTGTTGAACTGGCCATAACCAGGCCCAGGAGACAATTTCTAGTTCCTCAGAAACCTTGAGGTCCCTATTATTTGTCGCTGATAAGCTGTTCCGAAGCCAAGTAGAACCTCCACGAGGCAATTGTCAAGCGAAAACTTCGAGGATGCGGTAAAGAAGTGACAAATGCACAACCAATGCGTTTAAAGTGGAATAAGTTCGCCGGTACAGTGTCACTAGTGACTGTGCAGATCATGATGGCATCGATCACAAGTAAAGTGCGATAGTTCGTTCGAAACGGTTAAATGCAATAACTTGTTATATATCGTTTGAAAGCTGAATAAATACCTTTTTGTTTGACGTTTTGATTAACCGTGTATGTTGTTTAATTCTTGAGTTATGATCACTTAAATGCGTCCAAATTTACTTTGAATCGGGCCTTATATCATAACAATCAAGGCTGGTAAGTTACTGTAGTATGTGGTAGTATGGGCTACAAAATGGTGAGTTGACAACCTGGAAGGAGCGGAATACCTAGCCCTGGTCCTCACAAGTTCCTACTTCACGCCTCCTCGAGTCATATGATAACAAAAGACTACCAGCTGAAACATGGATACAGCTGGGTGGCGTAGCCTGGGCAATGTTGCCAGTCCGGCAATAGCAAAGTGAAGAGGTGCGACGCGAACACTGGCGCGGTAACCATAGTACGGTGATAGAGGAAATGCTTCACCAAACCCGAGCGTCTGTTCACCATGGAGGTGCGGCTCAAAACGGCGTATGTTCTCCATGTTAGGAGCGGCTGATCACCGTCCTAGTGCCAGCGTGGGACTCTAAACAGAGCTGTGCACGATGGTCCCCCGGCGAGACAGGGGGTTGGGGCAGGCCCAACAAGCCGCCCTGAAAAAAAAAACAAAGTTGCAAATACTGAAGAAAGAAATACGGATCGGAACAATCGGCACAGACCTACGCGACGAAATAAGGACTACGATTGGAAACTCGGAACATGGAACTGCAAATCGCTCGGCTTCCCGGGTTGCGATAGGTTAATCTATGACGAACTTCAACCACGCAACTTCGAAGTCGTAGCACTGCAGGAACTTTGCTGGACGGGACAAAAGGTATGGAAAAGAGGGCATCGAGCGGCTACTTTCTACCAGAGCTGTGGCACCACCAACGAGCTGGGAACCGGCTTTGTAGTGATGGATAAGATGCGCCAACGCGAGATTGGTTGGCAGCCGATCAACGCGAGGATGTGCAAGTTGAGGATTAAGGGCCGTTTCTTCAACTACAGTATCAACAACGTTCACTGCCCACACGAAGGGAGACCCGACGACGAGAAAGAAGCGTTCTATGCGCAGCTGGAGCAGGTGTACGACGGCTGTTCGCAACGGGACGTCAAAATCGTCATCGGCGACATGAACGCTCAGGTAGGACGGGAGGCAATGTATAGACCGGCAATCGGGCCAAACAGCCTGCATGCCGTATCGAACGACAACGGCCAACGATGCGTGAACTTTGCAGCCTTTCGGGGTGTGGTAGTTCGAAGTACCTTTTTCCCCCGCAAGGATATCTACAAAGCCACCTGGAGATCACCTGACCAACACACAGAAAACCAATTCGACCACGTTCTAATCGACGGGAAATTCTTCTCCGACATTATCAACGTCCGCACGTACCACAGTGCGAACATAGATTCGGACCACTACCTAGTTGCAGTATGCATGCGCTCAAAACTCTCAACGGTGCAGAACACACGTCGAAGTCGAACGCCGCGACCCAACATTGAGCAACTACGGGATGCCGGAGTTGCCCAGGACTACGCGCAGCAGCTGGAAGTTGCACTACCCACGGAAGAGCAGCTTGGCGCAGCTTCTCTTGAAGATGGCTGGAGGGACATCCGTTCAGCCATAGGTAGTACTGCAATCCCGGACCGAAGAAATGACTGGTTTGACGGCGAATGCAAAGTAGAGGAGAAGAATGCAGCACGGGCGAGAATGCTGCAACACCGCAGGAGATTGAATGTGGAGCGATACAGACAAGCGCGGAACAGACAAAACTCGGTTTTCCGAAGAAAGAAGCGTCAGCAGGAAGACCGAGATCGCGAGGCGATGGAAAATCTATACCGCGCAAACGACACACGGAAGTTCTACGAGAAGCTAAATAGTTCGCGCAAAGGCTACGTGCCGCAAGCCGATATGTGCAAGGACTTGGACGGTAACCTTCTCACGAACGAGTGTGAGGTGATTGATAGGTGGAAGCAGTACTACGACGAGCACCTCAACGGTGATAAATACAGCAGAAAACGAAGGTGGCACGGCAACAGACCTTGGAGCACGCGCAGAAGACGACAGGCTACCGGCCCCTGATCTTCAAGAAGTTGAGGAGGAGATCGGTTGGCTGAAGAACAACAAAGCAACTGGTGTAGATCAACTACCAAGTGAGCTATTAAAATACGGTGGTGAAGCACTGGCTAGAGCGCTGCACTGAGCAATTGCCAAGATTTGGGAGGAGGACATATTACCGGAGGAGTGGATGGAAGGTGTTGTATGCCCAATCTACAAAAAGGGCGACAAGTTGGATTGCTGCAACTACCGCGCGATCACACTGCTGAGCGCCGCCTACAAGGTACTCTCCCAAATTCTATGCCGCCGTCTGTCACCATTTGCAAGAGAGTTCGTGGGGCAATACCAGGCGGGATTTATGGGTGCCTGCGCTACCACGGACCAAATTTTCGTGATTCGGCAGGTTCTGCAGAAATGCCGCGAATACAACGTGCCCACACATCATTTGTTCATCGATTTCAAATCCGCATACGACACAATCGATCGAGATCAGCTATGGCAGATTATGCACGAGTACGGATTTCCGGACAAACTGACGCGATTGGTCAAGGCAACGATGGATCGAGTGATGTGCGTTGTTCGAGTATCGGGGAGTATCGAGTCCCTTTGAATCTCGAAGGGAGTTACGGCAAGGTGATGGACTTTCGTGTCTGCTGTTCAACATCACGTTAGAAGGTGTGATCAGAAGAGCTGGGATAGACACGAGTGGCACGATCTTCTGGAAGTCCATTCAGCTCCTTGGGTCGCCGATGACATTGACATTATGGCACGGAACTTTGAGATGACGGCGGAAACGTACATCAGACTGAAGGCTGAAGCTAGGCGGATTGGACTTGCCATCAACGCATCAAAGACAAAATACATGAAAGGAAGAGGTTCTAGGGAAGACAATGTTAGCCTCCCACCCCGAGTTCAGATTGACGGTGACGAAATCGAGGTGGTCGATGAGTTCGTGTATTTGGGCTCACTGGTGACCGCCGAAAATGATACCAGCAGAGAAATTCAAAGACGCATTATGGCAGGGAATCGTGCCTACTTTGGACTCCGGAGGACGCTCCGGTCGAATAAATTTCGCCGCCGCACGAAATTGACTGTCTACAAGACGCTTATTAGACCGGTGGTCCTCAACGGCCACGAGACCTGGACTATGCTCGTGGAGGACCAACGCGCCCTTGGTGTTTCCGAACGGAAGGTGTTGCGTACCATCTACGGTGGAGTGCAGATGGATGACGGAACGTGGAGGAGGCGAATGAACCACGAATTGCACCAGCTGCTGGGAGAACCATCCATCGTCCACATTGCAAAAATTGGGCGACTACGGTGGGCTGGGCACGTCGTAAGAATGCCGCACGACGACCCAGTGAAAATGGTTCTAGAAAGCGACCCAACAGGAACAAGAAGAAGAGGCGCGCAGCGGGCAAGGTGGATCGACCAAGTAGAAGGTGACCTGCGGACCGTTCGCAGACTACGAGGTTGGCGAACTGTGGCCATGGATCGAGTAGAATGGAGACGACTTCTTCGGACAGCAGAGGACAACAAGGCATTAGCCTGATTGGTAAGGTAAGTAAGTTACTGTAGTAGCTGGAGCATCTAGG